ATTGATACAATTATATTTAGAAAACATAAAAACTGTTACAAAAAAGATCCACAGAAAACCTTTTCTGTTCCTTTTTGTCTACATGCAGTTCAGATCTTCCTACCTTGAGAGATATAATTGAATTGTATATTTTATATAATTTAAGTTTTTGACACATTTTAAGTACAATATTATTAAAACTACTTCTGAATGCTCTTGTATAATTTACCCTTTTTAACTAACATTTTGTGGCCTCCTTATGTCCCATTCTTGCAAAAATCTGTTATGAACCTACTTAGCATAATGTTATCAATAGACATTGACTTTAATGGTATCACTCATAATGTACAAAGTGAAACCACTGTGTAGATCTTTGCAACATTAGTACCCAAAGGAAGTACTAAAAAGACTAGTTTCCCTCAGAATTATAAACTATATAACTCAGTGCTTACAGATTTGGAATGTCAGTCTTTTTATATCTGATTGATCATTTTCCTTGTTCTATAAACCCCTTTGAGCCATATCTAGTAGTTTATTTTCAATATTTTTCTTCTGTTAATATATTCTAGTTTTCCTTTCTATAAAGGTTTTATCCTAATGACAATATTAAATTACTTTAGGTTTAGCAATGTGAAATTGCAGCCTTTCAATGTGGAATACTATACTTTCTCATATACATCACACCCCAAAATAAGATGCACACCTTTTTTTTTAAAGACAGAATAAAGACAAAAAGATTTTTCCTTGTATTAAGTAACTGAGTAGCAGCAGCTAGGGAGCCAGTCTTTCTTATTATTCTCTTCCCTGTGGATCACATGCAGAATTTCTTTTACCCAGCAAATGTTTAAGTGGCAGAAACTGCTGTTACCATGTTTCCTTGCTTATAGTATGCACCCCACTTTGCAGCAGCTGGGGGATTGAAAAAGGTGTGTTGTATGTGAGGAAATATAGTAGTAATATAGTGCAGTGGCTTTAAAACTAGGATTGTATTATTTCACTTAGGTGTCTTTGATGTAGGATATTTCATTTTAGAGGTTTTTTGGTACAAGGATATTTGGACACCAGTCTTCCTGGATGTTTTAGACTAAGGCATGTGTTTATTTTTAAAAGGGCATACCAGATCCACAGTGGTATAAAAGGCATATCTGTGTTGCCTTTGCATTTTTACACATTGAGGATCTGGCCTAACTTGTTTCAGTAAATTAGTGTTTCAGAAAAACACAAATGCCAACACAGAAGAAATATATATCATATCAGGGGCATCAAACTCATTTGTCCCTGCAGGCTAGATGAGTGACCCAAGACCAGTCCACAGGCTGGATGAATGATAAATAGCTAGCCCCATGGGCCTGATTGGGCCCACAAACTCCCACTCTCCCATATGCTGGCACCACATGCAGCACAATCCTGGACTGACTGGAGTGGGTGCTGGATCCAGAACATGGGGAAGCCAGCAAAGTGGGGTTGGATGATTTGGCTCTGCTGCCCAGATCTGGCCCACAGACCATATCTTTGACACCCCTGCATTATACAATCTTTCTGTCTTGGGTTATTGTGTGGATATGTCACAGTGCTATATACAAAGACCCTGTATACTGCTTTATATAGAATACTTTCAGTGGTGGTAGAGTACTTCATTTCTCTATCTACAGTTTCAGAGGTGCAACTTCAGGCTTTGTTTGGGATTCATGCTCAAGTTTGTCTCCATTCATCCTAACTGTCAAGTGTGTACTGGGTCATTTAGGCTGGAGAGTTAAAAGCAGCAATACATGGCACTATCCAGATCACTCCTTTGTCATGATCTTTGTCCAATATTTAATGAAGCCTTGACATCAGCTTCTGTTCCTGGCTTTCATGTAGGGAAACTTCCTCTCAGATATTTAGGCTTCAAGCCTACCAAGTTTTCAGATCATGTAAACCTTCATGCCCAACATGAATATGATCCCATCTGAACATAAATGCTTGCACTGACGGCTCATTTTGCATGATAAAGACCTTAAGTTATTTTCTTTTTTAAAATTATTCACAATAAAAATATCCAAACTATTTATTGCAATACTGTATGTCAAAAGCACTCTTTGCCTAAGCAAGTTCTACTAAAATTAACTTTAATGAGACTTTTGCTTCCTAATTCCAGTGGTGTATTTGAGCTAGCGTTTGTTAATTTTGGACACTTAATTTTAGTGCTTGTAGTATAAGGGCATGCCACATTGAGAAATATTTAGTTTGTTTTGGTTCATATTTAGTCTATTTACATTAAAGCAAGTTCCAAACTCTACAATACAATAAGCACTCCAATTTTATAAGAATTACATTTACAGACCTGTGTTACTAAATTCATGTATGGTTGATCAGAAGTTAAAAATCCTATGAGAGAAGTCAGTGCTAAAAAATAGAGTAATAATTTCACCACATTTGGCCCAGTTTATCCATGTTTGTACCTTCAGATAATTTAATAAGGTTATGCCAAGAAGGAATCTGAAGAATGTTGCTAATCTAAACAGTATGGAAGTTCAAATGGTAAAAAGCACCTGTCACCATTAATCAGTTAGAGGAAAAAGACTTCTTACCAGAAGTTTTTAATTCCATTTGGCATATCTATGCTGGAGATGACTGTCTCTTTGAAAAGCAATGTCACTTTGACAATAGCCCAATAGAAAGGAATAGGAATTGATTTCCATTCTGCTTTAAAATGGTTATAGCCATTTCTGGCCTGTTTTGGAAGAGTACACTAGATAGGGTACGGGAGCAAGAGCCATTTGCCTCTCTTTGCCATTGATTTCCTTGCTCTTTGGACATCAATGAGGCAACATATCTAGTGGTACTGGCCCCTAAGATGCTGAAGAAATGGAGCCATAATTCCAGTTCCACCTTTCTTCCATACTTTCCACAAAGGCTAGTTGAGTTAGCCTTACGCATTAGATTCCCCATGAATGTTTGAAGATAAGGTTATGCCAATGTCACACTAGATATAGACTGAGCCAGCAGCAAATGGGTTAATTTGCATATGCAAATTACAGAGCACAAGGCAGCATCATGCAGAGATACCTGAGCTAGCCTGCTAGCTCCAAATCTGGAAGCTGGATAGCCACGTTAGCGTGACTCTGCTGCTTCCACTTCCAGAGCTAGCACATGCAATGCTGCTTTGTGCCATAAACAAATAGCAGGTCTTCAAAAGCTCCTGTATAGGCAATTGTCCAACAGAGTGGCCCTATCATTAGCTATAACTCAAAAGTTATAGTTGATGATATAACTGAAGTATAATCTAGCCTGAAAAGTTTACAGGATTGTCAGAGAATCTGTGGCATCAATGATTCATTTTGTTAAATTCCTAGCTCCATCCTCTCCATGGATCGGCCTGGTATTCAGTGCTTCCAGGAGTGGTGCAATAAAAAACAAACAAACAAACAAACAAAAAATTGTTAAATTCCAGCTCATTGTGACCTCTGAAACTCAGCATCTCTGAATTCCAAAGTCTAGGTTTCCAAAGTTTGACACCCAAAAAGCTGAAGGATTCAAATTTAGGTTCATTTCATTTCTAGTTCCAGAACTAGTGTTAAGTAGGGCACCTCTGCAACTCTAAGCACAATTTGATTCGTATTTGCTGGGTGTGTCTGCATGAGATGCTTTATTGCACAGTAGACTAATCTGTGCAGCAAAGCATCACTGTGTAACCATGTACAGGAGCTACTGTGCAGTAAATTAGTCTACTGTGCAGTTTTCTACTACCTGTTACAGGTAGTAGATTTTCCGTGCAGTAGCTATTACACACTAGCACACAGTTACATAGTTGACCAGGAGAAAATTGCCAGTCTCATTGCTGGGGGCCAGGAGCTGCCTGCTGCAGAGGCAGGAGACATTGTCTCAGCCCATGCTCCATGATCAGATTGGGGGTTGCTCAGCAGGCAGCTGCCTTGGGCAGAGGTGGGATGGAAGGCAGCTGCCCTAGAGATGGGACAGCTCCCCCCATGCCCCAGAGCCCAGACCTGACCTCAGTACTCCCTTCCAGCCCTGGGCTAGCACCTGGGGATCTTAGAGCACCCCCTGGCTGCCAAATAGTAGTAGAGCAGGGCAGGAGTATCCCTGCCATGAACTGCTCCCATTGGAAGCAAATTTGCTCCTGATGGGTGCACATATAGACATGCACTCAGGGAAAGCTTACTACACAGTACTTAACTGTGCAATAAGCTTTCTGCGCATTAACTGCATATGTAAACATTCAAACTAAGTTTTCTTATAGCTATTTGACCATCTAGAAGTTTGATTCACGGTTGAGCTTAGTCCTTAAATTTGTGTATGCTAATATAAAAAAGATAAATGAGACTTTAGGAATGCGTGTATATGGGTCATTATTATTATTATTCAACCATATCCATATCACTTATCAGTATGTTAAGGAAACTCCCATTACAAATTAGACATAGGGTAAATCCTAGACCCTCTGAAGTCAGTGGTAGTTTAACCACTAACTTCACTTAGCCCAGGATTTAATCTATAATCCCAGTTTTGAGGAGGCAGGGCAGGGTGGCATTTCAAGACCTTGTTGTAAAATAATTTTAGGCAGCCATTAACCCCTGGATTGGGTACACATTAATATCTTTAATTGTCTTAAAGTACTCATTATTCAGTTTAAAGTTATGCCACTCCAGGGCAGGATTATCTCTGAGACTAGTTTAGAATCCTTTGGTATATACAAATTGGTTCCTAAATGCGGAATGAGGAAGAATATTTGTAGATATGCATGCTTAAGGGAAAAAATAGTTTGCCTTTCAATGAAAGAGGAATTTTCCTAATGTACAACTTTCCACACCTATCTAGGTGCATTATGAGATTTTATTTCTTCTTTCAGGACGTTCTTACGGCTGCTGGGGAGGTAGCTATGTTTTGATCCAGCATGACAATGTCTATGTTTACTTAGTAACGGAATAGTTCTTACATAACCATAAATTTAAATTTCAATAATGTTATATATGCTATTTCATTTTCATTAATTTTTTACAAGATCTTTTTTTCAATCATAGGTAATTTTTAGATGGTGGAAAATCTCTCTTAGGAGTGAATTTCGTGAATCAAAGCCTGGAGAAATTAAAGAATCTCATGAGGATTTCTTGGATGACCCATCTCTTCAGAGTAAGTTACTAGAGAACTTTATAAATTTATTACAGCTGATATGGATCTGCAATATAATGATCTGAGAAGGAGACTCAGATCACTGAGAGGCCACATCTGCACGTGGTGTGGACGTTGGGTTCCTCAGGGACAACTAGTGGCGGCTCCCCTACTGACCCTGGGGAATGCATGTGCCATGCGTACTCTGGCACATGGCAAGTGACCCTGCGGGTAGTAGGGGAGGCTTGGGCCAGCACTGGGTTGGCACCAGTGGCTTTACCTGGGGTCCTGGGGGTCTTCTGGGGCTACAGCAGCAGTGATTCTGCTGCATGGAGCCTGGCTGGCCTCCACAGGGCTACTTACTGGCCCCAGCAGTATAAAAAGCTGCCCTGGCGAGCAGCTAAGGGCTACTTGCCCTCAGGAGCTTCTGAGGCCCGGCCACTTGCTATCTGTTGACACTAGTCCCTTGTGCCAGCTGGACTGCTGAAGCAGGCCTAACCTAGAGTCACCCCTGTACCCTCTACCCCTTACAACAGTCTAGCAGTGAGGGCTGCTGTCTGGCTGTGACCTGTTGTCACCTGTGACAGCATCCATCCCCTTAGACCTGTGGCCCCATGGCTGCACAACTGCCAGACCCAGGTGGGAACAACGTGGCTGGGAGGCTTCATGGAGGTCCAGCCTGATGGCATACAAGGTACATGGAGGCAGGAGCTGGTCTGGCCTGATGATATACAGCTCCTGCCTGCAGTGCCAGGAGCCCCAGGTGGCAGCAAGAGTCTGCTCAGTCCAGCCTGAAGGTGCACAGCAGTGATCTGGGCTGGCGCCATGTGCCACATGGAGCCCCTGGGTTTCAGACAGTGCTGCACACCACTGGGGTCCTCTGCCAACAGCGAGCCGTGAGCGCCCTGCTGGCCCGCTGCTGGCTGCTGCTGCAGGGGTGGGGGAGGCTGTGCGAGGGAATGGGTGGGTGTAGCAGGGCACTAAGGTGCCTGCTACTGACAACAGTAGTATGAGCTCAGCTGCCAGTCACCAGGGCAGCACAGGTGTGGGTTGCTGGGGCAACCAGTCTGGTCAGCTGACCAGAAGGGGGCAGGGCCTAGCCTTTATAAACAGCCAAGCCGCCTGAGCCCTAGTGAGCAAAGGCTCCAGTGTGGGTGTGAGTGCATTGTGTTAAGCCCCAGTGCGGGCTGCAAGAGCATGGGAGACAGGCCCCGGTATGGGCTGCGAGTCAAGGAAGGTGGAGCTTGGTGGGAACAGGCAGAGTTGAGAAGCCTGATGGCCTGAGCAGCTTATCAGAGAGGATGCCAGGTAGAGGAATCCCTGACAGGGATGGACATGATGATTGACTAGAGGGCTTAGAATTTGTTTTAGTCACAAGGCTTATCTTTAAGTTATAGCTGGTTGGCTCATATCATTCTGTTCATTTGTTGTAAGGCCGGAGGACTGGGTGAGGCTATAAGGGGTTGGAGGAGGCCTCATAGG